CCCTCTTGCCCCCCCATGGCGCCCTACCTCCCCCGCAGCACGCCCCCCCTGCCCTCTGGCCATGTATTTCACTGCCCCGCCCCCCTTTGTCTCCCACCGTGGTGCTCGGCTGAGTTCTGCACCACTCAGCTGGGCCGTCGTGGGGGAGCCCAAACGGCCACTTGCTCCCCCGCGGCGGCCCAGCGGAGCAGCGCAGAACTCAGCCGAGCACCACGGCGGGAGGCGGGGCGGTGACGTATACGCCCAGAGGGCAGGGCCTGGATGAACGTGCATCCCCAATGGAGACAGAGGAGAGCAGAGAGAGAGAGAGGCAGGGGGGGGGGAAGATAAAAAGAGAGACGGAGCGGAGAGAGAGTGAGAGGCAGGAGGAATAGGAGAAGAGAAAGGGAGAGTGAGAGGCAGGAGGGGGAGAAGAGAAAGAAAGACGGAGAGAGAGGCAGAAGGCAGAGGAGAGCTGGGGGGGGGAAGAGAGAGAGAGAGAGACACGGAGCAAGAGACCGACATGGAGGAGAGACCTGAAAATCCTGTCTTTGACAGGCTAATTGGCTAGTTAGGAAATAAAAGAGACCAAGTGGGATAGTAACTCAGCAAGTTACTAATGCAGGCCAGAGATACCAAGTTTTCCTCCTTCTTCCAAGACTGTGTGGCATTTATTTTCAAGTGTATTTAACTGTTCCTCCTTTCAACAGGAGTGCATAAAGAACCGAAGTTTAGAATCAACATGCAATTACACCACTATTTTCTATCTTCACTTTGTATCCTAGACAACAGCTGCTAACTATCAACATTCCAAGCAGTAAGAACAGGTATCTCCCTTCAACCATTCCTTAATCAGCAGGCATGAGACACAATGGATTCCATTCTTCCACTCCCAGTGCACTGTACATGAAACACTCCTATAACATGAGTTTTAATCATGCTTAATCAGATGGCTAACTTCCCTTATCAATGTTTCAGATACAAGAAAAAAAGATACACTTTGGAACTGATGCTGCAGAGTTCACATACATATTACTGAAGGTCAACACAACTTTCAAAATTACTCAGTTAAGAAACTGAACTTTTTCAAAATCAAAAGATAGAATAGCAAAGTATTATGAAAGTGAAATAAAAAGTTAAAATAAAGCCTGAAGTATCACATCCTGTTAAAAGGTATGTTCGGGGGTGGGAGGGGGGGAGAAGGACTAGCCAAAAATATTTGAATTTTACATTTTTTAAACTCTTTTCTCAACTTCTTCTAATCCTGTCATTTTCACAGTTCTGAAAGCATCATTCTTTGTCGTCACATATACCAGAAATCTTACAAGGATGCATTTAAGGACATTTTCACAAACCAGGTAGTGACATCAACATGTCAAAGTGAAATCAATTAAAAGTCAGCTAAAATGTATTTCTTAATGTCTCCTTCAATATGCTTAGTAGAGGTAATAGGCTCAGAAGTTTGTGCTTAATTTCATTAGCTTTGCAATTTAAATTGTGTTGTAGTCTTTAGCAAAGTACACAGTAAAAGTCTCCTGTGTTTTGGAAGCACTTCCTCATCAAAATCTCACAGGAAACTAAATATCTGATAGCTCATATAAAAAATAAAATAAAATGTTCTGTAAGAAATCTATATAATAATTTTCAACAGAAAAGACTTCACAACCCTTTATAAACACATTACCTGTTCCGCACAGGCTGAGATGCAATTGCAAATGACCCACTACTTAAGCTACAAAGCACAATAAAACAAAGGTTGCAAACAAGAGCAAATCCAAAACTCTAGCCTACTCAAGGTTTAGCATATGAAGAACAGAAATAGGACAAGCCCATATCAGCTAAAAATTGTATGATAGAGTAGGGAACACACACACAAATGTTATGTCATGTCATTGGTATGTGTTTTACTCTCCAGAATGGTTTGCAATACTTGTAGCATCACCAAAATATACATTAATGCAAAACATCAGCTTTCACATATGATCACTCTGCCTACATCAGGATGTACAAGTATTTCTCATACAAGGTTCTGGGGCTACATAGGTGAAAAACTGGAGTGTTCTAGGTAACTCCTAACGTATGAGCTGTTTTAAATATGCATTACCTACCAAACAGACATCCAAGGCCTCTGCTAGGGACAGGAAACAATCCACTGAGTAAACCCATGCAGATGCAGTACCATGGGGGATTTACTGCCGCATACATCATAGTATAACCACAACCATCAGGATTGTAAATATATAAGTGGGGCGTTCATAGAAAGAAAGGGAACGATAGAGCAGGTCACTACAGGCTAGACTATGCAGGGCTAAGCAGCGAGCGTGACTCATGAAGGAGAAGGTGTGTTATTCGAGCAGAGCGCGGAGGAAATGAGGTGTTAACTTGGGGGCTCACGAGGACGAGGTAGTGAGTGCCACGGGGGAGGGGGAAGAGGTTTCTCACAGGGATGAGGTGTCTCACCGGGGGACCCACAAGGAGCCATCTCTCAGGAGAGGAGAACGAGGGGCTCAGAAGAGGGGAGGCTGCAGCAAAGCAGCTCAAAGGGAGAGTCCATGGCGAAGGGGCGGGGCCAGCTGGGCTGGGAGTCAGGGGTGTCCCACTGGGAGCTGGGGGGCGGGGGTGTCGCTGGGCTGGT